GTATTATTGTAAATGGCGGCCACTACTTAGAACATGCTACGCGTAGCCATACTGTCCAGCAGAAGTAACGCAGCAATTGCAACTGCTACATGAAGCCGCTACGTAGCGCTACGTAGCGCTAGCTTCGGCTAAACACACCCAATGGCTGTGAAGTGAGGTTGTCTGACAGAAGAGATGCGAGAAACGGACGAGTTTTCGTCTATCCGGTTTCTCTTCTCGATTTGAACCTAGTATAGTTTATAAAAAACATTCAAATATATAAGTTTTGTTGATCTTGAGATGATCTCAAACATAAAAAATTGAATCAACCAAACGTGTTTTAAATATTTATTATATTTTACAAGATGTTCAAAATGATTCCTGTTAACTTTCCACTATTTACATTTTTGAATACGATGAATAAATACCCAGCAAATAATTTCTGACTGCGCAGACCTGGCAACAGAAACTGTGTGCAGAAACGCTACAATACGGAAACATGCTTTGTGTACTGCCAAAGTTGTTAACACACAGACACAAAAAACGCAACATGGTCACTAAAACTCACCAAAACCATATCCTACTGAGGACACAGATGAATATGGATTTGATGTGGCGGTTGGCGACAAAATCGCGATATCTGACAACCAACTTGTTTGCTGCGTAGAAATAAGATTGATTTGACGAAGAAAAACTTGTTTACATTCCGACTTAAAATGGCTTTTGTGTATTCATAATTGTTACTTTTTTACATGGTGTAAAACGAAAGGTGTATCATTCCGACGGATGCGCAGTAGACTTCGAGCTCATTTGCACATATACCATGGATACATATATGTATATAACTATATGTGTATGTCATAGGCTCCAATAAGCTCAATTTCTGATTAGTTGACTGTGGATGGCCCTCTGCCCTTATGCGCAATAGTTCACTTTTTCTTACACCTTGTTGTTTATGATAATAAGCACTTGAATATATACAAAGATGTTTTTTCGGGTTTGAACCGCGATAGTGTCATTTTTATATCGACGTTTTGTGAACATTACAGCTCACTTCATCAGGGTTTAAAGAGCAGCCTGATACTTGAATAAATATATTGTGCGGCAGTTTTAAAATAAAAGTAAAATAAGATGAGGCCATTGAGCAATGTGATAAGACATCACTGTCATTGCTCAATGACCTAGTTAGGTTGCGGGAAGCAGCAGTTCTAGGAAAAACTGCTGGTTGCCACAGGGTGCGACACATCGCCGCATTGTCCGAAGTGCAACGCAGCATGTGTCGACACCGGCACCGGTAACTAGCACAGCCGTTGCTAGGACCGGTAAGCCTGCTGAATCGGCGAGATCGATCTACTATAAATCGATCGCGTGGATGAAGCAGGGCAAAGATCGTGATCAGACTGCTAGCTCACTGTGTGGCTCCGCAAGCTGGAGAGTTTACCACAGTGAAGAACAGCCGTGTAAGGAACGTAAGGAACATTGTAAACGGAGCAATAAACATAATAACATAAGTTCACGCATAGAGAGAGAACTTAATCTTTACCACTCAACCTCCTTGACATCCAACAAATTTTGGTGGCAGCGGTGGGATCTCTCATTCCGTGTGTCAAAGACGGGACTCTGCAGGAGATTCTGGTTGGATCAAGGAAACGGACATTGGGTGAGAAAGAAAAAAAAAAGGAGCGAGAACGATTGAGTTCTAGTTTTTAAAAGGGAGTATATTTAAAAGGAAAAAAAATATAAAACATATATAAGTACAAAACTATATATATACAGGGTGAGTCATCTGAATCTATCATCTCCAATAACTCGTTTGTGTGGCCAGGAATCGAAAAAAGTTTCATATAAAAGTTGTAGGGTTTCGAGGGGGAATCAAAATGGCGTACCTTTCAACTTTTGATTTTGACCGAAAGTGGGTTACTTCAACCGAAAGTGGTTTTTTTAAAATGGAAACCCCCCTTTTTGACACCGGAAAATGAAAAAGCGGAAAATTTTACGTTCAGATATAAACTTGGCTGTTTTAAAATTTTCAAGATGGTGAACGAAGATNGCGGACAAAAATTTTAGTCAACCGATTTGCACCAAATTAAGTGTACGAGGATTTTTGGGGTTGCTGATCACGAATCTGAAGTCAGATTTGCAAAATTCAAAATGGCGGATCCAAGATGGCGGACCAAGATGGCGGACGAAATTTTTAGCCGAAATTAATAGAAATTACTACTCTTAGCACT